CATGTAAAAATTTTTTTAAAAAATTAAAAAGTAGCCAGGCATGGTGGCACATACCTGTAGTCCCAGCACTTGGGAGACAGAGGCAGGTGGATCTCTGTGAGTTCAAGGCCAGCCTGGTCTACATAGTGAGTTCCAGGACAGCTGGGGCTATAGGGAGACCCTGCTTCAAAAAGACCAAAAAAAAAAAAAAAATTAAAAAGCAAAACAAAAACACATGTCAATAGCGCAAACAGCAGTTTTTACAGTCACGCATTCTAACATAATGCGACCTAAAGATATTTGATGCTTGCTTACATACTGAGAAATAATGGTAGGAAAATATTAAAAGCCCTCTTTTCTGTAATTAAATCATGCTTTATAAGAGCAGGAAACTTTATATGTAAGCACACTGCAGTTCACAACATACAATAGTCTCAAAGCTGAACTGAGATGTTTCAGGCAAAGTTCACTGTGTGGCTTGTCAGCATGCACTATGCAAAGTGTGTGGGCATTTGTGTATGTGTGTGCATGTGTATGTGTGTACACATGTGCACGTGTGTATGTGTGTGTGTGTGTGTGTATGTGTGTGTGTGTATTCAGAGCCAAGGCTACAGTGAAGCCTCACAATGAGTCATGGTTGAGCACTGTGGGAAACACCTTGCGTTCATTACGTGTTTGATTTTGAATTTTTTTTTTTTTTTTTGGTCTTTTTGAGACAGGGTCTCCCTGTAGCCCCAGCTGTCCTGGAACTCACTATGTAGACCAGGTTGGCCTTGAATTCACAGAGATCCGCCTGTCTCTGCCTCCCAAGTGCTGGGATTAAAGATGTGCGCCACCAGGCCTGGCCAGATTTTTAATTAATTTTTGATCATCACACTTTCAGGCCCTCTTACTATTGTCAGATTTTTCTTAGCCCCCAGAGTTAGCTATGCTACCCCAGAGACAAAGAAGCGGAGGTCTAGAATAACAGAGTGAAACCGGCTCTGGTCTTCTCTCATCCATTCCTCTGACAACAGTACTAATGTACTAGCCTTCCTGAAGATTCAAACGTGAATCAGACTCCCTCCTGTTCCCAGGGACAGGCCTCCTGTCTGGCTCCCTAGGAGGCCTTGGTTGCTGTGTCCTGGGCCTGGAGCCTGAGCCCCTAGATGGGGTACTTCCCCTACTATAAGGTAGCAGGCCTTGTCCTAAGTCCCATGTGCTTCTCCCAGTGGCTTGGTATCCTGGGGATCTTCCCTGGTGCTCCACAGAGATCAGCCCCACCGAGGGAGCAGCTCCAGGTAGTTCCCAAGATCTGAGACTGCAGGAGTGAAAAGGCCTTTATCCTGAGGCAAGAAACTGAATAAGCCCAAGCCCAGACTCCAACTGATGGCTCTTGACCTGGGTCTCCCCCAACCCCAAACTCTGGACATCAGGCCCTTGAGGGATTCATTGCAGGACCTGTTTCACTTCAGTGGTAGTAGGGCTCAGGATAGAGAGATGTGAAGGTAACAGTGTTCTCATGAGAAGGGGGCCCTGGAGACCAGATCCTTCCAAAAGTAAGTGAAGGCTGGGGGTTTGGCTCAATGGATGTCCTAGTTACTTTCTGTTGCTGTGATAAAATGCTGACTAAAACTAACTTGGGGAAGAAAGTTTATTGCCTTACACTTCCAAGTGACAGCCCATTTTTGAGAGAAGCAGGGCAGAAACTCAGGGCAGAAACCTGGAAGCAGGAGCTGAAGCACAGGCCGTGGAGGAATGCTGCTCACTGGCTTACTCCTTTGGTTTGCTCAGCTACCCTTCTTACACAGCCCAGGTCTACCTGCTCAGGGATGGCACCTCCCACATCAACCAGCAATCAAGAAAATGTCCCACAGACAGGCCCACAGGCCAAAGCGATGGAGGACGACATTCCTCATTTGAGGTTCCCACTTCCCAGGTGTGTCAAGTTGACAACAGAAGCTATCCAGCACAAAGACAGAATACTTGCCTAGCTTACACCAGGCCTGGTTCAATCCCCAGGACTGCAAAGAGAAAAGAGACCTGCCCCAGAGCCACACTTTATAGTGAATATCAGAGTAGAAAGATCTGTGTGGCTTCCAACTGATCCATAAGGAAGTAGGATTAGCTAACCCATTTAAGGCTAGGGCAAAATAACATGAACTAAAATCCCAATGTTAATAAACAGTGGGAGGTATGTGGGGGGCAGGGGGAGGGCATGTTGGAGTGGGACAGGCCTACACAGCTTCGGGTATCACGCATGCTCAAAGGCAGGCCTCAGCAGCCTGTGACAGGCTGAGACATACGCCCAAGCCTAAAGGATTACAGGTCAGGTTACACCAAAGGTTCAGTTAAGACCTTAAATCCCTCCCCAAAGTCTGGGACTTAGCACTTGCCAGAAATTTCCAGGTAGGCATTCAAACCTCCAGTTTGTCATTTTGTTAATTTCCTCTGATTATCCACAGACCACACCAGCCAAAACGGTTGCAGTGAAATTTACCTTCAATGCATTCTTAAGAGAGCGATCTACAGGATTGGGATTCTAAACTGCAGGGGGAAATCAGCACTTTCTTTTGGTCAACCCCTCACTCCTCCAGAGTGCTAGGATGTGGTCTAGACCACTCACTGGGCTCTTCTCTGGTAGCCAGTTTCCAGAGAACTGGGACTGGGCGTGACTCTTTGTCCTCTGAGGGGAACCTCCAGGAATGTTAAATGTTTGTAGAAGAAGTTTGAATTTTAATAAGGGGCTAAGCAATTACAAAGGAATTGTAACTTAGAAGGCCAAATCCAGGATACCCGATAAAAGGAAAACTCACTGTAGCAATTACCAGAAGACCAAGCCCTAGAACCTGACCATCTGCTGGGGACCAAGCTGTAAGACAGCCAGCTCCAGGGGGACCTGGGGACAGCATTCATCACCCCTACACATCCCTTGCAAAGAAAATGACTGTCACTGTTGTTAGGTGGGGACAACCCACCTTGCCCAGCTGGGTTGGAAAGCTGGCTCTTGGGCTGGCTGATTGGGGTGACTAAATTCCTAAATAATTTATTGAACATGAAGTGAAAAAAGATGGGGGGGGCAGAGAAATGGCTACGCAGTTAAGGGGGTATAATGCTTTTACAAAGGACCTAAATTTGATTCCCAGCAGCCATGCGGGTGGCTCACAGCTGCCTGTAAATCTCCAGAGGCACCTGACAATCCGCTGGCCCGCGCGCGCGCATGCACACACACACACACACACACACACACACACACACACACACTAACACAAAAGTAAAATAAATCTAAAATATTAATATATTTTGTTTTGCCTGCATGTAAGTGGACCTAGGTGTGCAATGCCCGCGGAGACCAGAAGAGGGCAATAGATCCGCTGGAACTGGAGTTACAGGATGGTTGTGAGCCACCGGGTGCGGGGCGGGGGGCAAGGGGGGGGATGCTGGGGGGGGCGGCGGACCAAACCTCAGTCCACTCTAAGAGCAGCCTGCTTTCTTAACCGCCGAGCTTTCTTTACAGCCCCAAATGTATATATGTTTAATAAATGAGCCGAAGCAGAGGGGAAAGTCTCGAGAAAACCAGGAAACATTTTTGTAACAAAGAAGACCTACACTGCCAAATGAAAACGTCCTAGAACTCCAAGAGTAGGGGGTGGTGCCCAGCTGGTGGGAGCAACCGGAGGACACCAGTGGGAAGGACTATAAAGGGCCTGGGTTTCCCCAGAATCTTCGACCAGGGCTTTTAGTCAATACACTCATCAAATGAGGAGGCAGAAGATGCGAGGCCCATTTTACAGTTGGGAAAGAGCAGTGGTTGACTTGTGGGCAAGTACATGGCAGAGCTGGAATTCAAGGCCAAGTGTGTCTCTCATTCTTTCTAACTGACCTGACCCACAATCCTGTTACAGCCCCCAGTGACTCAGCTCATAATGACTGCAATTTTCTCCTTATGACACTGCATTGTATTCTAAAACCCTGTCACTCCAAGGTTAGGTTAGGAAAGGGACCCAGAGTAGAGGGAGGAGGAGTAACTTCCCCAGGTTGCGCTGAACTCTGCTTCTAGTTCCAGTGTCTAGTTTTGATTTCTTCTGGTTGGTGGTGCTGGAGGATTGAATCCAGGGTTTCCTGAATGCTAACTTCGTGCCCTGCTGCCAAGCTGGGCCCCCAGACCAGGCACCTACTTTTGGATTTGACTTTCATAAAACGTGGAAAACTTGAATTTTCCACCGGCAGAGGGGAAGGGAGATGCAGAGTCTTGTGAAGATGCTATTTTTAGCGGATGCTGGAACCCTGGCCACTTCCACAACACACTTCCTTGGGGCTGTAGGGAACTTTCACTTTGGGCTGGCTGCATTTTCCTGCTGTAGACTGTTTCACCTTCGGCATTTATTACTCTGAATGATAGTTCACTTCCTCTAAAAGGAAGAGAGCCCAATGCCTGCTGCTTCACAGCACCGGGTCCAAGGACTCAAGGGGGGGGGGTCCCTAGAAAGATACTTGGGAAGCAATGCCTCGGACTTGAGCAGGCAGGGTGATTAAAGACAGGTCACCCTGCTGAAAAAAATCCTTCCACCGCCCAATCTGAATCTGGACTCCTCCCGCCCTCAGCCTGGGGCAGGAACCACGCGGGCGGGCTCCATGCTCCCACTCGCGTCCCCAGCCAGTCCCTAGGTAAGCTGGGGAGGGAGTAGTTGGTGGGGGGAGCAAGAGAGACACGTCCAGGGGTGGAGATATTGGTTTCTTGCCATTGTTCAAAAGGAGGAAGAGCTTTAAGAGGGCCTCGCTGCGGGCCCTGGGAGGGGATGCGCTCCAGCCTCCGGGGACCCCACTTCGGGGTTCACCGCGGGAACGCAGGGTGGGGAACACCCCGAAGCGGTACCCACCCGGGCTGCCCCACATGGACCTAGGGACGACTCAGGCTTTCAGATTTGAACCGAGGAGGCCGAGCGGCCCGGCCGAGCTCTCAGCTGTCATTGGCTGCGGCGGCGGCCTGACGTCAGCGCGGAGGGTTGCGGGGCGGGGGGGGGCGGAGTCTGGGAGGGGAGTGTCCGAGCGGCTTGCACACCCGCAGCCCCGGGAGCCGGAGGGAAACAAACGCCGGCGCTGCCATGGGTCGCCTGCCCACCGAGGGGAGCGCACTGTCGTGCCCAGCTCGTGCACGGGGATCTGGGCACCGAGGTAGGCGATGCGCACCCGCGTGGCCGTGCGGACGCGTGAGGTCTGGGTGGGCTGTAGACCCCCGGGTAGGGTGGAGACGGTCGGAAGAACCCGGGATCGTGGAGGACGGGGACCCCCCCGCCCCCGCTTCTTAGTCCTCGGCATCTGACCAGGGTAGGCAAGGCTGGGTCTTGGGTGCCCGGAACCCAGAGCCACACTGTGTCCCAGAACATCGGTGTGTGCGGTGGAGGGGGTGACACAGAGCCGGGCGTAGCGTCGCTGGGACTCGCCGATCTGGCCACGGGAGCTGGTCCGGGTGGGGTGAGTGGGCAGGTTTTAAAGGTCCACCCCTTGCCCGGGAATGGGGTGTGTGTGGTTGTGGGCAGGCGCGCGGCCCGAGGTCGCCTCGAGGGGGGCGTGTGCGCGCGGTTCTCCATGAATAAGGACCGAATTCTTCTCCTGAAGTGTCAGAGGCGTGTACTCGCGATCTCGTACACTCACGGCTGTACGCGGGCCCGGGAGGAAGGAGGGAAGGAAGGAACTGCCTGGAAGGCAATGGCCCAGCGAACGAATACTCTACCCCCCCCCAACCCCATCACCCCGCCCGCTCCGAGGCCAAGGCCGCGAGAGGTTCAGGCTCCTGGCAGCGGGGTGGAGCCGAGCAGAGCTGGCCATCCCTTTGCAACCCGCACCCGAAGCCCAGCGCTGGAGGCTTGTTCAGGGGTGGGTAGGTAGCCGTTGGTTAATGATCTAACCCCCCGCTTGGAACGTTGGAGCTGCCAGCCTGGTCCCTGGCTCCGCCCCCCCTCCCTAGAGCGCCCCCATCTGGAGGTACAAATCTGCCCCTTTGCCCTGGTGTGCCCTGAAGGAGCTGCCCAATCTGCTGGAGGGGTCCCCTGGCTGCTGCGGGTGAGTGTCTCAGCCTCAGGGCTGGGGCTGGTTAAGCTTCCTGGGAGAGGACTAGAGGTCTGGAGTGCTGTGCGTTCCTGACTGTGTGTGTGTGTGTGTGTGTGACACGGGGGAGGGGTGCTCGCTGTTAACTCAAACCAGGTTCCTTGTGTTTGCCCAAAGAAATACTGCGGCCTGGGCTTTGGAAGTTTTTTTCTTTCTCCCTGGGAGAATGCAGGGGAAATACAATGCTTTCTCTTCTCCTCCTGCCTGGGAACTTCTTCCCCTCCAACACCCTCACCTCTTGCAATCTGACCGGCTCTCACGTCCCTCCCAGAGTCCACTGGTTCCATTCTTTGCCCAGGTAGTTGAACAGTTGAATGCAGAAAGAGTCTTTGCGTGTGTGTTAGGTGGGAGGCAGGGGTGATCCCTTTGCTGTGGAAGCCTCTTGCCATCTCTCAAGAGAAGTTTGGGTACTGGAAGGAGGCTCCCACCCTTACCCCCAGCAGCCATCTGGAGAGATCTGGGCGTAAACAATGAGAGGCCTCTGGCAGGGGGCCTCTGCCATACAACTTCATTGCCCTGTCTGGGTTTCCAATAACTCCCACAGCAGCTCCCGCCCCTTTCTGAGGCCCGCTGGAGGAGGGAACCACCAGCAGAACGGAGAGAATTTTAAAGAACAAAGAACGGCCGGCCGTAAGCAGGGGGGGAGCTGATCCTGGGAGTTGCTCCCAGAACTAAGGGGATTTGCCTGAACGGAGCCAGGCCTTAGGGCAGCCCAAGGGCACTGGAGGCAATAATAGAGCATCCACCAGGACCCTTGGAGGTGTTGTCCATGCTGGGTAGCTGGAACCATGCTGAGTGTTGAGGGTGCCATGTGCCACCAACTCCCATCAGCTGTTTAACAGCATGAGCTACCCATGTGACTACTGATTAATGTGGTTTATCTCCTCTGGACTTTGGCCCTTCGCTCCTTGAGGGACAGCTGTTCTTTCTCACCATGGGGAAGCTTGGGAGATATGGAGGGGTGTTCTTCCTAGGGGTCCCAGTGATCTTTGCAAGGGACTTCAGGGAGCTGATGTGATAAAGTGAGTGAGCCTACCTCTTTTTCTTTTTCTTTTTTCTTTTTGAGACAGGGTCTCCCAGCTGGCCTGGAACTCATAGAGATCCACCTGCCTCTGCCTCCCATGTGCTGGGGCTAAAGATGTGGTGCTTGAGCCTACCTTAAGCAGTGGTATTTGGGGCATCTCAGCCCCTCTGGTGACTCCCAGAGTTCACAGGGTCCCTGCATACTGAGGTTCAACTGCTCTATATAACTCAGGTCCCCCCCTCCCTTTTGAGCATTCCTTCCATTTTCTGGGGTTTCTTGCCTCTCATTCTAGCACACACATTCAATTCTCAATTCTTGTTCCAATCTGATGTGTGTACCCAAGAGTCTTTTGTCCTGTTGTCTTTTTGAAACTGACAATGCAGCCTTCTCAGTGTAGAAAGTTGAAAGCAAACAACCGTCTTCCTCTATAAAGCAGGGGGCTAGAAGGTGGACAGATGTTGACCTGGAAGGGAATCCTAGACTCTCAAGTTAGGAGGTTTTCCAAAAGGGCTATGGGTTGCCTCTGGTTCAGGGGCCCTAGCCCCCTCCTACCTTTGGAGTGGCTGATTGATTTCTGTGTCTAGGACAGGCTGTGCCCAGCTGTGGCAGGCAAGGTGTTTGATGTTGACTTCTACCTGTCTTCCTCTCTCTCTTTTCCTTTATTCCCCCCAAACCCCTCCTCCCTGCTCTCGCCCCCAGTTTGAACTGAGTTAGGAGAGGAGGGGTCTGTAGCCAGTGTCCAGGATGTTTCTGGGGTAGTAACTCCAGCTGTTTGGGCTGGGGCACCCCGTAGACTCAGCGTAGACTCAGCCCCACAGACACCCGGGTGCTTGCCCCTGTGAGGGGGTGGGAGGAGTCTGTCCTTTGGAGGAATGGAGAAGGTAGGTTGATGGCAGCGATAAGGCTGGGGGTGGAGAGAAGGATTGAGCAATCTCATTCTAGGAGCCAGACCTGACCTGTGCGCCTATAGCCTTGAAAGTCCAAATCTCAAACCAGAGGACACTGAGGAGTAGTTTAGAGGAAGGTCCTTGACTGCCAATTGGAGCTCGTACTTCTGACTTCTGATGTGCTTCCGGAAGGTGCAGCCCATCTCAGCCTTCTCTGGGCAGGGCTTGGGACTGTCCTGAAAGGAGGATGCAGCCCTGCCTGCATTGCCTGGTGGAGAAAGTTCAGCCATTCGCTTCCCACATTCCCACTCACTGTGCCCCTGAAGCCCTGTCTTAAATGGGCTTCCTTCCAGCAGAGGCACACAGGAGACCTTCCCTTATGCCCCAGCTACTGCCAGATTACCGCTCCAGCTCCATGCCAGGATGGGTAATGTTGGTATGCAGAGCCCTTCTTTACCTGAAACTGGTGGTCTCTACCTTCCCAAACTGAGGAAGGGTCTCCCTTTTTGGTCTAAGGTGAAAACAGTTTGGGGGTGTCATGTGTATATATCTGGTATTGTTCCCTCCCCTTCATCCTTGGGCCTCAGGGCATCTGTAAAGCAGCACTGCCAGGGCAGGATGGACCCCTAAGCATCTTAGTGCTTAGCTGCAGCTGCTCTGGGTTACCACCCTCTGCCTTGGCCCTCAGGGTGTCAGATGAGGCTGGCTGGTGCAGTTCCAGCTCCCCACCATCTCTGGGCTCTCCTTTCACCTCCTTCGGTTCAGTAACTGAACTTGGTCTGGAGACCCCCAGCTTTGGATCTTCCCAGATGTGACAATCATGTTCCAGCTTCTTCCGGTCCCCACACTTCCTCTCTACCCTGAAGCTTCTACCCCGGGACTCCCACTCTGTGTAACCCTCTCCTTCCCTTAGAATGTTGCCTGGGCCCTGAAGCATCAGAGACAGGATTCCCTGTTCCATACCACCTTCATCCATGGAGATTAAAGTTTAATCAAATTGTGGAAGGGAAAAACATATAAGGAACAGAGGCCAGTGGTACAGTGTGTGGAGGCTCTCAGTAGAATCTGGTCTATAGGTGTCTGACCCCATCCACTACGTGAGGTTTTGTGCTGGTAGCACCCAGGGCCTCATAATCCTTCACTGTCTCTTTCTTACCCTTTTTCCAGGAAGGCATGAGGGGTTTCTGTTTTCTCTTCCTCCCCCTCCTCCTCGTCCTCCTCATCCTCCTCCTCCTTCTCACTGAACCAATATCAGAAGGAGCTTAAGATCTGCCTGAGAAGAGCTAGGCCTGTCCATTCTGCTTTGTGAAAGGCCAAAGGTGAAGAAGAGAGGAGAAAGAGGCCCTAGGCAAGGCTGTTTGAATTCCCCCTACTGGGAGGCAGTGCTGAGGGAAAGCAGAATCTATCCCCCCCCCCCCACACACACACGAGCACACACACTTCAAGAGTCAGCCTCACACTGCACCCTGGAGCCTGTTGGATTAGGTGTGTGCAGGTATACCCAGGGCCGACCAGTGGGTCCCGTTTGAACTCATTAGCTAGACTGTCACCATGTATCCTGGAAGTCTCCCTTACGCCTCTGGAGATATGGGATACCTACCGAGAGACTGTGCGGCTCAGTGTTATCTTTGTATACATTGAGTTGTGCTCCGTCTTACACTGTTGTCTTGAACACTTCGAGTGTCTTGGATCCTTGCCTTGACACAGAGAGTGAGATATAAAGTTCAGTGACTTTGAAAGCTAATGGGGGAAACTGAGGCACAAGTAGCAAGCTCATTGTGGTGAGCTAGCTTGTAACCTGGGGACTCTGGCTTTTGACCCCCGTCACTCTAAACTCCAGCTGGGTAAGGGTGGAAGGTCTGGTGGGAGCCAGATATACTGCTTGCTCTGGAGACCCCGGAGTGCCCTTGTATTCTCTCCTTGTCTGACCTCAGGCTCTGAGAAAAGAAGTGAAACTAAGCCAGGCCTGGCAGATCTGATTTCAAGTGCAGTGGCTTCCTTCTGAGCTGGGACCAGGAGCAGGAGAGCCTGGCTGTTCGGCAGCAGGGTCACGGTCAGACCAGACAACTTGTCCTGGTAGGGACAGTTGAACCCCTGCCAGCCGCCCTTCTGCCTCACCTGGGTTTCCCCTCTCTCCTAGGGGCTTGCACTGGGTAGCAGACTCCTGGAAACACACGTTTCCAGGAAGGACCCTGTAAACAAGCGAGGCTGCCGGATGTCCTTCAAGCACTGGTTCTGCGTCTTCATGACTCCTTGGTTGGTTGTCATTTCCGGTTACTCCCAGGCCCTGGCTCCTTTCTCTTCCCTTGTAAGCTGTTCCTATTCCCAGGCAACGGGTGAGGGAAGCCTCCTGCCTTCCTGCTCACTTCCTTTCCCTGGTTCAAGGTAGAGGGTTCTGAATGAATGAGGATAGAGGTGAGTGCTGGGGCAGAGATGGAGATGATTCCCGTATCATGAGGGTAAGGGCTCCCAGCATGGTGAACCCCCTGGAGACTTGTTTCTCAGGATTCATCTACTTTCTCTGGAATAGTAGGAAATGTGGTGCCTAGACAGGGGAGGTTTTTTTTTTTTTACATTTTTTATGTACTGTGTGTGTGTGTGTGTGTGTGTGTGAGAGAGAGAGAGAGAGAGAGAGAGAGAGAGAGAGAGAGAGATGGGGTGGCCCAAGTGCCAAGGTATGGAGGTCAGAGGACAGCTTTGTGGACTCAGTTCTTTCCTTCCACCATGTGGCTTCTGGGGATTGAACTCAGGCTGTCAGGCTTGGCACTAAACACCTTTACCTACTGAGCAGTCTTGTCAACCCTGGGGAGTGTTTTGTTGGTGGTTTTGGTCTATTTTTTGAGACAGGGTCTCCCTGCAGCCCCAGCTGGCCTGGAACTCACTATGTAGACCAGGCTGGCCTGGGATCTCACAGAGATTGCCCTGTTTCTGCTTCCCAAGTACTGGGATTAAAGGCATGTACCACCACCCCTAACAAGATTTTTTTTTTTAGTTTATTATTTTTATTTTATATGTATGAGTGTATTGCCTGTATATGTGAAAGTGCACCTGTGTTGTGCACTGCCCGAAGAGGTCAGAAGAAGGCTTTGGATCCCCTGTAATGGAATTACAAATGGTTGTTAGCCACCATGTGGGTGCTGGGAATCGGACCTGGGTCCTCTGCAAGAGCAGTCAGTGCTCTTAACTGCTGAGCCATCTCTCCAAGCCCCAAGATTTTTTTTTTTTTTTTGAATCCAGAAATTGTCTGCAAAACTCTGAGCTTCTTGTGGGTGTTCAGCACCTCTTAGCCTTTATTACCTTCTCCAAAGCCTGGCTCCTGACTGTGCTCATAAGCACCCCCATCCCCACCCCAATATTCCTTATACAAGAATGGAAAGTACCCAGAGTTCAGGATCAGCCTGATCTAGATTCTTCTCTCAGCTCTGTCCTTAGGAGCTGTGTGATTTGGGTGACTCATTGGACTCTCTAAGCCTTAGCTTTCTTATCTGTAAGATGGGGACCATGATGCCAATCCATGGTTTGTTGGGAAGAGTACCTGAGATAAACCCTTTAGATATGTTGCTACCTTAAGTCCCAAAAGCAGTTTAATAAGAACAAAGCATCTAAGACATAGAGTGTCCACTCCATCTCATGCTTTCTCTATGGCCTGTGGCCCAGGGAGAGTGGCTACCTGGTACTGGGTCTGACTCCCTGCAGCTAGGGAGCTGCATATAGCCTAGATGTCTATCCAGATCCATAGTAGGAGGCGTCATTCTAGAACTCCTGATTCCAAAGTAATGTCTTTTTTTTTTTTTTTTTTTTTTTTTTCCTTTGCATGTAGGTAAATGCACCCGTGTCGTGCAATGCCCGAAGACAGAAGAGACGGTTGAATCCCCTGGAACTGGAATTACAGACAGTTGTTAACCGCCATGTAGGTGCTGGGATTCGAACCCAGGTCTTCTGCAAGAACAGTGTTCTAGTCTTCTGCAAGAACAACCAGTGTTCTTAACTGCTAAGCTATATCTCCAGCCCCAGTAATGTCTATTCTAAACTGAATTCTCTCTGACATTTTCCAGCAACTACAGGGTAGATTATGCAATAGAGTCTGTTTCCTCTGCTTCTTAGCTTAGCTCAGATATTGGAATCATTTTTCCTATACACTGTAAGAATTGGAAATTCCAGTGGGGTGTGGTGACACACACCTGTAATGCCAGCCTCCAATGCTAGCCCTCCCAGCAATAGGAAGGTGGATGCAGGAAAATCAGGAATTTGAAACCACCATTGGCTCCGTCTTGGAGATGACAGAGTGTGTCTATGAATCCACTGGGGAATGTGACAATTAATGGCAGTCTAGGTAGTCACCACTGTTAACAGGAGCATAATGCCAGAGCTGAGGGTGGAACTCAGCCAGAGAACACATGCTTAGCATGTGTGAGGCCCTGGGTTCCAAGCCCATTTCTGAATACCACCTATACCCATTAAAGGAATATAAAGTCAATCATACACATCACTTTTCTGATAGCCACATTTTAAAAACTAAAAAAGGAATCCTGTATACCCAAAATGTTGGCATTCCAATGTAATCGTTAAAAACCATCAATTATAGGGCTGAAGAGATGGTTCAGTGGTTAAGAGAACTTGTCTTGCAGAGAACCCAGATTCATTTCCCAGCACCCACATTGGGTGACTCACAAATGCCTATAACTCCAGGACATCCACTTCTGGCCCCCACAGATACCCATGTGCACGTGGGTATACAAAACACAAACACCATAACCACACACATGTAAATAAAATAAAGGTTTTTTCAATGGTATATTTTACATTATTCTTTAAGAAACAAAGGCTTCACAATCCAGTGTGTATCTTCCACTGACCACACACTACAGCCTCAATGCTAAACCTGGTAAATATTTGATCAGTGTTTGGATTTCATAAAATTTACAGTTGCAGACAGTCACACTTGGGTTTTTCCAAACATGCTGAAGTTTTCCTGTAAAGGAGTCAAGCATCTGTTTTAAAATTTAAAATACTTGAAATTAGGTATTAAAAATTCAGTCCTGGAGTCACACTAACCACAGTTTAAGCCCTCAGTAGCACCACCTGGCTACCATATTGGGTCACTAGGTTTAGGATGTCACTGTGGATGCCAGACACAAGGGTGTCCCATATCACCATAGTATTCAATGATATAGTAACAGTTGAGATATAGGCTCTGTAGCCCAGGCTGCCCTTGGACATGGAGTCCTCCTGTCCCAGGCTCCTGAGTATTGGGATGACAGGTTTGCAAGGACCAGTCCTGCTTGGAGCTTGAAGTATTTCAAGAGTTCAGCTGGGTGCTAGGTGTGGTGATACACACCTTTAGTCCCAGACTGAGGCAGGCAGGTCTCTGAATTCTAGGCCAGCCTGGTCTACATAGTGAGTCCCAGGCCAGCTGGGGCTACAGGGAGACCCTGTCTCAAAAAGACCCCCCCAAATGAGTCCAACTGCAAGACTAGATTACAAAAGCCAAGATAATTTTAGAGTTTAAAAAAAAAAAAAGTTAAGCTAGGGATATTCTGGAGACTCAAAACATATGTGTGATGAGATTCCAGATCTGGTTTCACAATAAACAGAGAAGCATATCTGGAAACAGGCCCTGGCTGGACACTATCTGGAAGATGTTCCCATCTGATAAAGTTGACTTTGGTTGCCTGGCACACATTTTTTGACGAAAGTGGTTTTATAATCGATCAAGAAAGTTACTGGATTTTATTGTTATTTTTTCTTAGCTTTGCTTGTTTTTATTTTTGTTTTTATTTTTGTTTTATGTGTTTGCGAGTATTGCTGCATGTAAGTAAGTACACCCATGTCGTGCAATGCCCGCGGAGGACAGAAAAGGCTGTCGGATCCCCTGGAACTGGAGTTAGGACAGTTGTTAGCTGTCATCTGAGTGCTGGGATTCGAACCCCATTCTTCTGCAAGAACAACTAGTGTTCTTAACTGCTGAGCCATCTCTCCAGCTCCCCCCCTTTTTTTTTTTTTTTTTTTTTTAAGGATAAGGCCCTGTGTGGTAACCCCAGGCTGGCCTAAAACTTGGGTAATTCAGGTTTCCTCAAATTTGTGTCAAGCCTCCTGCATCAACTTCCCCAGTCCTGGAACTGCAGGTGTGAGCCATCATGCCCAGTTACTTTGTTGTGTGTGTTTGTTTTGCTTCTTTTTTGTCTTTTTTAGACAGGGTCTCCTTGCAGCCCAGGCTATCCTGGAACTCACTGTGTAGACCAGGCTGGCCTCGATGTCTCAGAGATCCACCTGCCTCTGCCTCCTGAGTACTGGAATTAAAGGCGTACGCCACCATGCCCGGCTGTGTTTTATTTTGCAGATATCTTTTATTTTTTTGGTCTTTTTGAGACAGGTCTTTTTCCCTGTAGCCCCAGCTGTCCTGGAACTCACTATGTAGACCAGGCTGACCTTGAACTCAAAGAGATCTGCCTGCCTCTGCCTCCCAAGTGCTGGGATTAAAGGCATGCACCACCAAGCCTGGCATACAAATATCATTTTTAAAATATTTTTTATTTATTATTTTTATTTTATGTATATGAATGTATTGCTTGCATGTAGATAAGTGTACCCATCATGCAATGCCTGAGGAGGACAAAAGAGGCTACTGGATCCCCTGGAACTGAAGTTACAGACAGTTGTTAGCTGCCATGTGGATGCTGGGATTCGAACCTGGGTCTTCTGCAAGAACAACCAGTGTTCTTAACCACTGAGCCATCTCTCCAGCCCTGTTTGTGTAGTTTATATTATTGTGTATGTGTAGTAGTGCGTGTGTGTGTGTGTGTGTGTGTGTGTGCGTGCGTGCGTGCGTGTATGTTACAGGGGATCAAACATTCCACCATTGAACTATGACTCCAGCACTCTTTCTAACTTCCTTGAAATTTTTAGATGGTCTGAGTAATGGCATAGATTGGCCTTGAATTCTTGAATTTACCATGTAAACCATGCTGGACTTGAACTTGTGTTCTACTTGTCTTGGCCTGAATAGCTGGGATCGTAGGTCTGTGCCTCTAGACCCCATTCTGTTCTTTCTTAAAAATATTTTATTATTTTTATTTTACATGTATGAGTGTATTACCTGCATGTATGTGCACCCATGTCATGCAGTACCCGAGGAGGTCAGAAGAAGGTGTCAGATCCCCTGGGACTGGAGTTACCGACAGTCGGATATTGTGACTCAGAGAGGCAGGAGTAGAGCTGAAGGCTGAGGCCAAGTCTGGTCTACATAGTAAGTTCCA